TTCGTTGTGTCAAAGATTCATTAACACATCGAAAAATGCTTATTGATTTTTCTAATCACGAACACTGAATGTTTATTAAATATTAATTTTTGTCAAAATATGTGGTAAATGACGTGTTCGTTGGCTATACGTCTTTAATATAATAACCAATAAAACTTAGCATTTAATACGCAACTGTAAAATAATATACGATAAATACATAACAAATGCAAATAAGACTGTATCTCGCTGTTGTAATGTGTTTCGGTTTGATTTGATTTCGTGATTTATTTAAAAGTTTTATTAACTAAGTAAGTGATAAGGTACATCATCGAATTGCCGTCAGACTGTGCACAATGAATTTGAAAAGATGCGAAAAGAAAAGGACTTTACTTATTTTAAGGAAGGTTTATGAACCTTTAATATTTCTGGAATAAAACAACGGACAAGCTCATAATTACTAACCTTTAGGCCAATATTTCCATTTCGAATGTCTAGAATCGAAACCAGGAGTGCTAACAATTACATCCTGATGTTTCAATGTAATGTGAAGTTACATGCACTCAGCCACATTCGACAATTTAGCATAGGTCTACTTAAGTTTCAAGAGATTATACTTTTAAGAGACCGGGGGGGGGGGATACGTAATAAAAAAATAACACGACGTTTCTTTCTTAGAGCATTAGTGGAAGTATATTATTCGTAGGGTTCGTATTATCCCTTTTTCAACAATCCCAGATGTTGAAATGTATGGGAAAACGTCACGTAATGAGAGTATAAACCTACATATGAATATATCATTGTGAAACAATACAAAAAACAACATTAAACAGGATGCAGGATGGTGTCTCTTCCACGTGTTGGCTTCAGCATGAACTTTTAAAAGTATGAAGTTCATGCTACTTGTTCAGTGGAACAGGTTCCTCATTACTCGATCCCTTTGAAGCCGAACCTCGTGTAAACGTTATTTAAAAATTCAGTTCCTTTCACAAAGAAAAAACAACTCGTCTCCATTACAAAGATCAACTGTTTAATGTTGTTCAGGGAAATAATCGCTGTTTATTTTGATAATTGTATTCTGGGATACTAGGTTTTGTAGCCTGTTAGAAATTTACCGACGTTTCAGAGATGCTTACATGGCTTAGATGGCGCAATGTCCCAGAACAGAATCATCATCATACTCACCGCCTTGAGAACCTGAAGTCTCACCGAGTTACTGAATATTGAAAAACGATAGTTTACATAGTTACCACTTGGCTTTAATGCTAATATTGACGAATATGGACGCTAAAACTTTTTACGGACTTTGCGTGAACCCAGCAAAACAAATGGGAGGAATGCAGTTTGAGTCTCGGGTTACCAGCTATACTAAGAGTTCTCATATTTATCCTCAGTCTCCTACGCGAATATGACAATAGTGCCAAAATAAAAAGAACATGATTGTCTCTTTCCAAATCTTCACCTGTTCACCACACGCGATCAACTTTCCATCTCATCTGACGACAGATCAAAGAGCGTAGTTTTCATCAAAGACACAGACACACAGAATGCCTTGAGGTAAAGCTCGAAACAGAAGGAAGTCACTGCCACTCTCACTATTTGTCTTTATTTACTTGAGGAGAAAAGAAGCCTCGAGATCAGATGAGCTAGAACGTTCCGGATTATCTCGCTTCAGTGCACTGGATTTGTGAATTTAGTGGCATACATTTGCATATGTAAGTTTGACTGCTATTTTGGAAATTAGCCATCGTCTTGGTTATTTGCTGGTTGCATGTCCAGCGCTGGAGACTAAGGAATGCACCAGAGCGTACTCTAGTGTGTCCCTTAGACACAGCTAGTCTCTCTTACTTACACCTGCTGACGGAGACATATCGTTTCTGAGACGTTGTGCGTTTTTAAACAACTGGCCATGATGATGAAAAATTCTCAAAATAACAGCCGAGCTTACTGCAACACACTATCGTAGGAATCTTTTGTCTGCCATCCATTTCCAGGTCGAGCTGATGTCAATGTGGGTTTTTTTTAGCCTCGACCATAATATGACGCACATTGCATTACTTTCCAGTAAATTAATAATTGTAGGATTTGATGTTTTCACGGCGGTGAGGACAAAGATGGCTGTCTTCTGGGTTGTTGCGCCATGTAGTCTGGTAGATGTCCACAAACGTTTCAGAGGTCATGCTGCCTCCGTCATCAGGGCGGACCTGATACAGGGATTAGCTCTAGGTTTTACCTGAAGACGAATATAGACTCCCATCTCCGAAACGTCGTGGTTTTTATCGATTTTATTAGGCTTGGACGATGGATAATATCCAGAAAACAGTTTACTTCAACTAAATACTATAGGCCTAAACTTATAACGATATTGCTCTCTTCAGGGTAAGCTTAGTGTGTTTCTTGCAGCCTGCCTTGTTACATAGGCCTACCGCTTGGATAAACAATCCATAAGTGGCAAAAAGCTAGTTCTATACTACAAGATATACGTACCTACTACAATGGCTATAATAGCTTTCCAAAGTAAATAGTCATCTTCAAGAAGATATTACATAAACTTATTGGTAATAATACAGCAGAGGTAGCATAATAAAGCCCAGGCCTATTCTTGTGACATTTAATTTCGTGGCTGGAACAACGTTACTGAAAAGCTTGATAACAATTTTCATCTCAGTCGTTCGTAAATATAATTTCTTTTAAATTCCGTTCCTAAAATTAGGTTTGAATCTCCTCTCACTCATCTATGTATAAATTATAATTTCATAGGCAAATGCGCAGCAATTTGATATAATCCTA